GCTACTTCATAACTGTAATTTTGATACTGTTATGAATTGGGTGACCCCTGAGAAAGGGTCGCGACCCACAGGTTGAGAACTGCTGATCTAGTCCACCAAAAAGATAAAAACTGGTCACAGGATTTAACAACATTGTGACATAATAACAAAACTGACTGAAGGATCATCTCTTAGTTTGGTCATCTTGCACCTACAATACCAACTTGGCTGGAAACAACACAGTAAAATTACGTCCTACACACACACACCACACTGAAAAGATTCTTCCAATTCAAGAGCTGGCTTTTGACTTTTATCTTGGTAGCTCCTAAATGAGTTTTTTTCCTTACCTGATTTTAAGGGTACAAATGGATTTTAAAAATTAGACTTGCTTATATGTAAATATACTTTAAAATCAAATACATGTTAATTATGTCAATATTAATTTTAGTATTGTCTGTAAATTATGTCATGAAAACCCCCAGTAGGATTAAAAAAAAACTAATTAAAGTCACCATAATGAAATGAGCCCTTTCCTTTATGTAAATCTAGGCAGCTATCTTAAACACAATCAAAAGTGCCAACATCCTTCATTTGTTTCACACTTCAGGTAACACTTAGTTTTTTACTTTTCTATGTTGTGTTTTTTTTCAGCTGACACAGAAAACGGATCTCACAGGATTTATGCCTACCATCTTATGCAAAACTTCAAAATAGAAAAGTATATTTTTTTACTCAACAACCTAAATGGTTATATACTGGAGATCTCAAGTGGCTGAACTATTTCCTCTCTCTTCCAACGATAAAGTTCAAGGATATTTTTAAGATACTAATTAACCAAAAGCCAAAAGACTAGACTTTGCTCAGAAGGTCGATTGTATCTCTTGTAAAACATTTCACATTGTATCGCCTTTTAAGGTAAATAGTCATACATACATACATCTGCAAGAAAAATAATGTAGAGTAGGAAACATCACGTATGAAGACGCTCAGAAATCTGAAAAACTATTCTGAGATCATTTCTCACCCATCCATTACCTGTATACTGCCATGAGCGAGTGTAGCTTCTTTTGCTGCATTATTTAATCACTATAGACTTCTTATTCCTCAAAGCATCCTATGTCCTAATTAATTTATACAGCTGACAAAGGATTAAAATCAACAGCACAATATATGTTAAAATCTCAAAGCTCACAGAATTGTCAATAATAGAACATATATAAAGTGGACAGAAAACCAATTGGGGGGAGGGCTCTGATATTCAAATATCCACATCTAAATATAACTTTAGATACTAATAGCTGTACTGTCAAAGATATTTTCACACACAATTAAAATCAATATTAAAAAGCAGACAATGCCACTGAGAAGATAATGCCACATAGTTCTGTTGAACGGATATATTCACTTCTCACTTTTCTTACTGAAGCTATTTATTTATTGAAATTATAGTTCAAAACTCCTAAAAGGCCTATCTAAACCTGCATTTCAGTAATCATACTTACAGGAGCTTTTAATACGTATCTTTTCTGGAGATCAGAGGTTAGCTGGGTCCGTGAAGTTCTAGAACAGTTGTTCTAAGCCAAGAGGCGATTTTGCCCTTCAAGGCAAAAAAAATGGACAATGTCTGGAGGCGTGAGTCAGAATCGACCCGATAGCAACGAGTTTGGAGACTTTTTTGTTACTGGTAGAGGCCAGGGCTGCTATTAAGCATCCTTCGATGCAGTGGACCTCCTCCCACTTCAAAGTTATTCCATACCAAATGTTAACTGGGCTGAGGCCGAAAATCCTGCTCTGGATAAGAGGTTTTTTTTCTGCA